GGCAGCACATCCTGTCAAGCGTCTTTCTCCAGAGCCACAGAAGTGTACTGTGAGCTTCCTGTCACAAAGTCGGAGCTTTCCATTCTGTATTTTATCACTGTGCTTGTCAATGTTTCAATGAAAAGTGAAAGTTTTTCTTACTTAAAACATTTACTAGGAATATCAGAATAATGTGTTTTTGGACATCTGCTGTGGTAATTAAATGAATATATTCTGGTATATGATTATGTGAGTAAAGTTACCACAGTAGGCTATTACCATTACTGCACTGTTTTGTAAGGGAAGGCTGAATGATTTAGTGGTGTATTAATATGTAGCCTACTGTATCGCGGTTCCTAATGACTGTTTGTTCTCTAACCTGCCAGCTTTGCAAATAAGGCATTAAGCTAGTGCGCCACAGTTTCATTTACATCCTCCTGAAAAATCGATCTCTGGGCTAATGCTGCCTGGGTAATTAAAGGGATGGAGCTCATAAACGCCCTCTGGATACGAGTTATAAAAATCAACTTTCAATACTGATCATAAGTTACAGTCCCCATGACAGTTTTCCTCAGATGTCCTTTGAATTTCTTGCAGTTAACTGTGTTACGTCCGTTTATCAAATGCCATGCGAAAGTGTTCAGACTGATCGATGCATTTTTTCTCCTCAATTACAAAGACTGTATTGATTTTTTCCTGTGCTGTTTTCATATCTAAGCACTCAACTGCAAAATTCATTTTAATGTGGCATTTGAAAGCCAAACAAATGCAAAGTATAAAGCTGAAATAATTAACATTAAATTAAAAAAATTGAGGTGAAATATCCTTTGATAGAAACATAAAAGAGTTTTTGAAGAGTTTGAGTAACTCCTGTGTTATTTGTCTTTGTAGTTTGACATGCAGCGGATAACACTGGAGGAGCTGAAACACATCCTTTTTCATGCCTTCCGGGACCACCTGACGATGAAGGACATCGAGAACATCATCATCAATGAGGAGGAGAGCTTGAACGAGAACTCGGGGAACTGTCAAACAGAGTTTGAGGGAGGTGAGTGTAAACATTGCTGCATTGTGTGTGTGTGTCAGTGGAGTTTTTCCTTGGTGTTTGTGAAAACTTACATGTACAGAAGACAACATTGTGAAAGCGCATAAAAGGTTTTCCATTTTTAGTTTAAAAAGGTGTTGTATAAATAGCTCCTTAGAGTGGGCTAGTTGTGATGTCACCATATAGGGAAGGCTAAGCTCGTGAATATTAATTAGCCCTAGATAATCACCTTGACTGTCCAGTCACGCAACATGAATTCTAATACATCAAGTCCTTAAGAAAGTCAGTACAAAATGCATTATGATATCAAGATCATTTCAAATAAATGGAGTAACAAATAAGGTATTCTACTACAATATTTATGATTTTAGTTCATATTTATGATAATCAACATGACATGAGTTTTTTTCTCGTAAAAAATGCAGATGGTGGCCCGTGTGAAAATAAAGTACACTTTTAAAAAGAGTAGCCAACTTATTAGAGCAAACACTTAATTGCATGTTAATTGCAGTTAAATTAAAATGTATTAGAATTTAAAATTAGGGAGTGCTTTTTTTGGCTCATATAAGTACACTGTAAAAATTATATTATCAGTAAGCAGTGGCAACTTATGTTTGACCCTATTGGTTATTCTCATCAAAATAAGTTTTAACTTCTTTTTTTTTTTTAGTTATATGAAATTCAACTTGATTTTTTTAAAAGTCGGTTTAATATAATTTCAGTTGAAATGACTTGTACAACCAACTTAATTATACTTAAAAAATGTAAAACAGAAACTGAATTTAATTTTTTAAATTCTGAAATACTGTAGGTGGAAATATTTCACAGTGTATGACTTAATCTTTGTGTTTAATATCTTAATTACTTCTATTGGTTAAAGTGCACTACTGAATGTAATGACAAGCATTTATGGTCATTTCTACTGTACTGAAACTGGTTTTTCATGTATTTTAAATATATTTGTAATTACATTTGTAATAATGAATTTGCAATTTAATGCATTTAAAATCAAGTGAGGTATTCTACAATATTTATGATTTTAGTCATTATTTATGACAAACATGCGAGTAAACAAATAAACATGACAGACGTAAGAACTGTATGTAATGAAAAATAAGTATATTAAATAGAAAAGCAAATGAGATGCATCAAGTAACTCCTCTTTTGGATTAAAAGCTAAAAGTAATTCTGATCGGCCAAACCCTTCAAACTCAAATGTAGGCATCTAACTTTAAAAGCAGTGTTTGTAATGATGTGTAGATGCTTCTCTAGAGTTCATTATAGGCTTCTCTGCTTCGGTCTGTTTGTTTTACCAAACTAATATGGGCTGATGTTGATGTTGTTGTTTCATGCATGATAATACTGCTGTTACTGCACCTCTATAGGCTCATCTCAACACAACAATCCTCATGGTAATACACAGGAGGGTTAATGCTTTTTTACAGTAGGCTATGTGATATTCACAGCCTATTGACGTCAGGTGCAATTTTTAGAGGCTTATTTGGTTATTAAAATCAGAGGAGTGAATTAAAGATGCTAGTTTGGTTTTTGAGTGGGCAGCTCATCTCTAGATACACGAGTGGGTGTTGTCACGCCATTTACAGGGTCACCAGCTCAATGTAGCATATGCTGCACTACATTATGAGATCCCCTGAAACAAACTCATAAACATCTTATGAAACCGAGTCTTGAAATGATGATGCAAATACACTATATTCAGCCTATTTGACACTTTGAGTACCACAGAATTTTTTTTCCACTTAAAAGATTTTAAACCTAATAAATGAATAGTACTTTTAACAACTGTATTTATACAGTAGGGGGCGGTATTACACATATGTGACCCTGGACCACAAAACCAGTCATAAGGGTCAGATTTATACATCATCTGAAAGCTGAATACATAAGCTTCCCATTGATGTATGGTTTGTTATGATAGGACAATATTTGGCCGAGATACAACTATTTGAAAATCTGGAATCTGAGGGTGCAAAAAAAATCTAAATACTGAGAAAATCGCCTTTAAAGTTGTCCAAATGAAGTTCTTAGCAATGCATATTACTGATCAAAAATTACGTTTTGATATATCTATGGGAAGGAAATTTACAAAATATCTTCATTGAACATGATCTTTACTTAGTATCCTAATGATTTTTGGCATAAAAGAAAAATTTATAATTTTGACCCTATTGGTTATTGTTACAAATATACCCCAGCGACTTAAGATTTTTTTTTTTTGGTCCAGGGTCACATATACTGTTTGCTTCTTGAACTTAACAGATTTGGAGAAATTTAGTATTACATCACTCCTCACCAATGGATCCTCTGCAGTGAATGGGTGCCGTCAAAATAAGAGTCCAAACATCTGATAAAAGCATCACAATAATACACAAGTAATCCACACCACTCCAGTCCACCAGTTAATGTCTTGTGAAGTAAAAAAAACAAATTCATCATTAAGCCGTTTTTAACTTCAAACCATTGCCTCTCGCTTAAATATTCTTCTGTGAAAAAGTCATTTCGTCTGAATCAGGAGAGAAATATGCACAGACCAAGCACTGTTTATAAGTGAAAACAGTACAAAACAGCAAACAAGTTCTTATCAAGTAGTTCTATTACCAGATGATAAATAAGCCAATGGCTGAATTCCAGTGGTGTATTGTAACGAAGTAATAATACTTCATTACAGTACTTAAGTATTTCTTGGGAGTATCTGTACTTTACTTGAGTTTTTATATTCCAGCCAACTTTTACTTTTACTCCACTACATTTCCTAATTAAAATGTATACTTTTACTCCGATACATTTCCCCGAAGCATATTCGTTACTTACTACAAAATAGTCAGAAGTCAGAAGACCACGGACTGCAGGAAAGCAGGTTTGACGAATCCGTGGTCTGGCGTTTACACATTTACACAAACACATTTGCTCACGTGTGCCCACAACCGCAGATGATTCATTTTTTCTACTCAAGTCGAGTCTGGGGTGTGCGATACACAGCATCGTCTGCGATAATATGGTAAGTGTTGTTGTAATGATGTGCGATCTGACATTATCAAGTAACATCTAGGTTACTAGGTAATAACCAAATCACACACAGAGTGCACGTACGTTGATTTATTAGTCCATTAAAACTCAAAATTCCAGGCATTCTAAATTGTAGACTGCAAAAATGCTTCTGTGTGCTTTTTATATTTATATAATTTAATATTGTTAACTTGATCTATATCACACAAAGAGTAGCCTACCGTTTTTCTGCAGATATCAGCATGAACACATTTAATAATCATTTTATACAAGTTCAGTAATGCAATAAGTGACTTACATTTTAGACATACTATTGCTTGTTTTTGCTCAATTTCGCTAATGAAAATAGTTCCAAACAAAGATCACACTCCACTGTCTGGAGCGTCTCTGAGCAATGGATGGTGTTTACTTATTGAATGAATCGCTTTTTGAACGAATCGGTTGAATAAATGATTCAGTGATTCACTCATTAACACAGTCAAATGCTTTGTTTCTGAATGAATCGGTTGAATCTCAATGACTCACTCATTAACAGTCACTTGCTGTCACTTGGCGGTTTTAATTTCACATTTCGACTATTTTTGTTCATGTTTTAAATTATTTCAAATATCAGTATTCAACGTTTTATGTTAAAAACAAAACATTAGGCCTGTTTATGCTTCTGTAACTGCAGGTTTAATGCATCCATGTCCCCTCTGAGATAAATTAAACTGTGTAAATACATCTAAATGCTATTTCAGATGTAGATTCCAGAAATGTTTTCATGTTGGAATGAAAGACACTAAGTACCGGATGAAGTGCTTCTTATTCTTACCCAAAAAATACAAAATGGAAGAAAGAGTTAAAACTGAACACAATCTTGCTACTCAAGCTGTGTATGAACATTTTTTATATATATTTATTTTGCTTCTTTTCCATGTTGCATGTACTTGTACTGTTACTTTCAATACTTAAGTACGTTTAAGAGTTAAGAAATACTTTTTGTACTTAAGTACAATAAATATCACATACTTTAAGACTTTTACTCAAGTAATATTCAAAACGGTGACTTCAACTCCTACCAAAGTCATTTTCTGGTAAGATATCTGTACTTTTACTTGAGTATGGCTTTCAGGTACTTTATACACCACTGTTGAATTCAGAATAGAATACTAGCAATCTATTGTTTCTGCCATAGAATTATTAAATCAGTACACATGCAGCAATAGGCATTAGAAAGCTACTTTGTGCACTTAGTGAATGATTTCAGTGTATGAATGTTCAGTATGTATGGACCACGCTAGCACAGTGTTAGCATTGCAGGGGTCAAGCACATCCCTTATGCCAACGGTGTAAGTCTCTGTCCTACCAGCAGTAACAGATGTCCACAGCGCTAAAGCAACCCTCATCCACACCTACTGTTGAGCCCTCTGTGTCTTTATGAATCATACATGGTGGCACCTGGGCCGAGCTTAGGTGTTGTCAACAGACCACACACTGAGATGCGTGTTAATGAATCTAGAGACACAAGCAAAGCTAACTAAAACTCTTGAACTAAAACTAGCCAAACAACTGCCATTGAGATGAATGGGAATGGGGATTTAGCATTTCATGCTAGCAGAAAAGAACATGCAAAAAGTGCAATTTTACAGCGGTATAAAATGCCGTCATGCTTGTGTACTTTTTGTACTGAGGGTTTTTAAAGTGGGGAAAAGTACTTTTGCATACGAGTACTTAATATACTTTAAAAGATTTAAATTAAGTGTGAACTGAATGTAATGTTGTCGAACACTAAATTCCATAATTGCAATTAAATGAAATGATCGAATACACAGATATATTAGTTTAAATTTAAAGTGTCTTAGTTTATATTTACATTAAATGTAATTAGCTTTTTGACTCACTTAAGTAGGACTTAAGGATCTTTATAAGTAATCTCATAATTACTTATATGGTCTTTGTAATATGGTTAAAGTGTAATGACAAATGTACTGACAAGCATTTATTTTAAACTGAAATATACTTGATTGCAATTCCTTTTAAAAATATATGCCATCTATTTGCACAATTACATTGCAATTACATTTGTAAAGATGAAGTTGCAGTTTAGTACATTCAAAATGAATCAACTTTAAATGTAATAACAAACAACATACTACTGTTAAAATAATATCATCATATGTTATAATCAAATAATTGTACTTCTTGAAGCATGACTAAAGATAATTTAAAAAAATGATTTAAAATGGACATTTAATTTACATTACTACAAATTGCACTTTTTTAAAAGTACTAAAGTGTTTTAAATGTATGTTAAAAGTACTTAAGTGTGTCAAAAAATCAAATGAATGGAAAATAAAAATGTACACTCTTTAGGCACTCTTAATTGGCCTTTTATTTAATAATTTTCAATATTATCTGCAAGTACAGTTTATTAAAAATATACTTTTGAAGGATTTAAAATGGACATTTAAATTACATTCCTACAAATTGCACTTTTTAAAAAGTACTCAAGTATATACTTGTGTATATATATGTATATATAATCTTGCTACGTGTACTGCGTTAAGCTAACAGACTTGTCATAGCACTTGCATTTTATTACTCTTTTGTTGGTTTTGATTGCTTCTATTGTCATCATTTTTAAGTCACTTTGGATAAAAGCATCTTCTAAATGACTAAATGTAAATGTAAATGTGTATTAAATGTATGTTAAAAGTACTTAAGTGTGTCAAGAAATACAATTAAAATGTACACTCTTTAGGTACACTTAACTGGCCTTTTATTTCATAATATTCTATATTATCTGCAAGTACAGTTTTTTACAAATATACTACACATGCACTTTCAATACAGTTATGCGCACTTCTTTTTCACAAGAGGGTTGCAGTGCTGTTGAGACCTTTTGAAGTTCAAAACATGCTGAGCTCGCTGCAAGACATTTTATCTTGACTTTTCTCTGCTGCCATTTGCGAAGGCAAGAGTGGGGCAAAGAAAGTTCTCCTTAGCAACACACACTCAGGCAGAAGAGTCGCTAGGTTCGCTCATTATCGCGCTTCCTCTCTGCCGTAACCAGGCCAGGGATTGGCTGCAGGGGGTGGGACTTGCTGACTAGCACTCTGTGCCAGAAGAAAGACTGGAGCGGAAAATGATATCACGGGGTGAGGCTGGCACACAATCTGTCTCGCTGTGTGTTCCCAGAAGCTCCTAATAACTGGCTCTATTCTCGGCCCAGACCCCACTGTCACCCCAGACGGTCGTGAGCCGAGCCGCCACAAGTGCTCAGGTGAACCTCGAGCCCTGGTCAAAACACCTCCACCTCACAGCTGCGTGAGAAACACCGCTTTATTTAGATGGGTCAGATTGGCAGATGAAAGGCGGTCGGCTAGAATGCAAATCGACACCTACGCATTCAGACACTAATGCGATATATGCTGATCGCTGGCTTGTTTTCCTCAGACTAAATCTCTGTTTTTGTGTCATTGCAGTTCATCCCAAAAAGAAGAATCGGCAGACGTGTGTGCGCAAGAGCCTGATATGCGCGTTCGCCATGGCCTTCATCATCAGCGTCATGCTCATCGCGGCCAATCAGATGCTGCGCAACGGCATGGAGTAGCGACACCACTGTGAGCAGGGCGGAGCCTGCATGTGCATGTCTGTGGATGAAGTTGTCGAAACTCAAGAAACAAAACCAAACACCTCATTACTGAAAAGAGGAGCTTTTTATTCTTTTTTTAATTTGTATTCTCCCGTTACTTCTCCATGCGGACCAAGCGACACAGGAAGTGTAGAGGCGAGCCAAGCCAACATGTTACACGGGGCCTCATCTCTCAGGCAGGGACTTTAAAGGGCTGACTTTCTGCTTTTCGTGCCACCTCTGTTCCCTAATGCAATAACACGCAGGAGTTCATAAACCGTCGCCGTCTCCTCCGTGGCTTCAGATATTTCAGCAGGGATTCGCTGATGAGCTTCTGCTGGGTTCGGGCCTGCTGTCGATGTAGGAAGGCAAAAGTAATTGGCAACTCATTACACCTTTGTGGAGGGAGAGTTACAGCATCCACTCCGGAGACTATTTATGTCTGCTCTTGCCAGAGTGCTTTTCTGGCTCGGGGGATGGTGGGAGGCCGGGGAAGGAGCGCTCGTTGTCGTCCATAATTAAATCCATATTCGTCAGCTCCAAAAATCCATGAGCCTGACTCATAGTTTTCATTATTTCGAATGTACTCTGCTATTCGATTGTGCGATCTTCCTGTGTCTAATGCTTTTCCTGAAGTGTTTTGTAATGAGCACACCCACACAAAATGTTGAAACACAACGGAAAGTTGTGCAGATTTCCACAAAATTAGAACTGCCGTCATTCATAAGTTCTATTTCCATGTTTGTTCCGACAGTTGTTTTATTCAAACTGGTACAGCATGGCAAAACAGGTTAAATTCCCAGGAAATGCATGTATATCTTGAATGCATTTTAGGTTGCTTTGGGTAAAATTGTCTACCATATAGAGTCCTGCAGTCATGACGTCAAAACCCAGAAGACTAATTCGCCATGGGTTCCCTCAAAATTTCCTATGGGTTTTTATAATGGTTTTTTTTTAGTTTATGAGTAAAAAAGATCTGTGGTTAATTTAAATTGATGATACTTGGACATTTTGATCTACAACATAAATTATACACATCCATATTTTAAACATGCAGCAGTTATTTAAAAAAAAAACATGTTTGTAATAAGTAACTACATAGTAACTACAATGTAACTACATAGTAATTACATACAAAGAATGCTTAGGGTGTGGGTGTGTGCAGTTCATTACAACAAAACTCCAAGTTTCATCAAGTTTCAGTTACCACAGACCTTATTTTACTCATTAATTGAAAAACCCCATAAAAAACATTTTGATCTACAACATAAATTATACACATCCATATTTTAAACATGCAGCAGTTATTTAAAAAAAAAAACATGTTTGTAATAAGTAACTACATAGTAACTACAATGTAACTACATAGTAATTACATACAAAGAATGCTTAGGGTGTGGGTGTGTGCAGTTCATTACAACAAAACTCCAAGTTTCATCAAGTTTCAGTTACCACAGACCTTATTTTACTCATTAATTGAAAAACCCCATAAAAAAACACAACAGTGAAACCTGTGGCGAATTAGTCTTCTATGTTTTGACATCACAGCTGCAGCACTTTATTCAGTTATGTTGTTTATATGTTTTTGCAAAGACACATTGATGTACATTTAATTTTTCGTAATTTTTCTTAAGCAGTATTGTTGTTAATTTTCCAATGAAAATATCTAAACATTCTCCAAACAAGATTTACTTTGCAAAATTACATAAAATGTTAGGAATTATATAAAGAATTCAATATTATATAAATTATTATATATTTAATTCGATATTATAAACTTCATTCGTACACAATTATTTGACCTTTTAAAATGACAAATTGCAGTTTTGCTTCTGAATTATTTTCCGTTTTAGATCATGGAAAATGACAAAAATACAGATAAATTGATTAAAAGAAGATATATCTACTTGAGAAGATAAATTTGAAAATTTTAAACATTTGTATTTTAAGTACTATAATTGTATATATACATATTATATAATGAATTTATAATATTGTTATATAAATAATGTATAACTTAATAATTATTAATATTTATAAACTTATCAACAAGATATATATCTTCTCTGGTAAATTGATCTTGTTTTCCATCAGAAATATCTAAACACTCTTAAAACAAGACAATTATATACTGCTAAGATTTTAGATTATTTGATTATGTTTCAGCCACCTTTAAGACTGTAATACTCTCAGGTCAGTTGAACACATCTGACCATATTTAAAATCTTTTCTGACAAAATTAGAGCTGAAAATGTCTACAGGTTCCATCTGGGCCTAATGAGTGAAGATGTGTGGGTTTCGCAGTACTTCAAAACGCTTCATTTGTCTTAATGGTACATTTCTGGCCAGTTATCAGTGTTTTTAAGGGTTATACCTGTTGAGACCTGTTCATTTTCAGCATTTCTGAAAGGTTTATGACGGCTCTCAGATTCATGTTAGTGGATGAGCTTGGGTTGTTTTGCACTGCTTTACTCCCATCAACCTGCTAGAAAAATCTTTGTTACTTTTATTACACCAACCTCCCTTTTTGAGCTGCATTGAAGATGTCCTTCACTTTATCATGAGCCACAGTCATCTTTGGTTATGGCTATGTGTATGGTGCATGTTCATATTGCATTTCATTCTCTGTCTGTATTAAAGCCACCGTAGCACTGCATTGTTGATGTTTCAATAGATGTATGTAATGAAGATGCTTCACATCTTCAATATTGCGATTGTAAAAAGGAAAAGAATGATACTGGAAGATGATTGTATCATTCACATAGGTGCGATTGCTAAAACTCTGTGCCTGATGCATTTCTTCTCTTTGTGTTTCATGAATGTCTCCTCTGGACACCTAGAAAACGCAATGGTATATGTTCTCCACCATGTTTCCTGAGGTCTGCTTCCACTTTATAATGCATGTGAATGAGCAGAACTTTGTAAATAGAGCTTTACATGTGTGTATTCTGTTCGTGCATGATAGTTTAAAACGACATTCTGCACAGATCGTGTCAGGGCTACTGAGGGGGCGGCTGAAATCAATACACGTCTGCCAGCTCTCCGTTCTCCCCCGAGACCCCTGACTAAAGCCATATTTGTCTGCACAGGTGTTCTTTAGAGAATAAAGGTGCATACACTGAAATTATAAAGGTATAATGTTAGTGCAACCCCTTTTTCTCACTCAAACGTTGATCCATGTGCTGTTGGAGCAAGTGGATAGTTCATTATGTTACAATGGCGACACCTGGTGGTGGACGTGATTACTTCATTCACTGTGTTTGTCCTCATACTGTCCTTGTCTGATCTAGAATGTAACATTAGCTTGTAGCATTCAACTAAAGATCTGGATGGGTTGATAAAATGATATATACTATGTGTGTAGATGATTTTGACCTCCACAATTGTGTGGTGAATGTGAAAAATTACACATTAATTATATTCCAGGGGTTGGGTGTGATTTTAGGAATGATGGAATGTTATACCAATATACACAGTCAATTATATCCGTTTATGCCATTATTTAAAGACAATATTGTAAAATTGCCTTTTAGGATAATAATCTTGTGAACAAAGTATCCCATGAAATCAGATTAAATTGGTTCTGTAGGCTATTTAAAGGGTTCATCCAGAAATGAAAATTAGCCCATGTTTTACTCACCCTTTCAAGCATCCTAGGTGTATATGACTTTTGTCCTTCAGACGAATCTAATCGGAGTTATATTAAACATTTTCCTTGCTCTTCCAAGCATTAGAATGGGAGTAGGCAGGTGTTTTTGTTCAACAGTCCAAGAGTAGTCAAATAAAGTGCGTGCATCCAGAATAAAACATGCCTCACACATGAATAAAGGCCTCCTGTAGTGAATCGATGCGTTTTTGTAAGAAAAATATCCATATTTAAAATGTTATAAATACTTTTTTCTCACTTCCGCTGAATGTCATACGTGCAAGCCATTCCGGGTGGATGACGTAGGATGTATGCGCAGCACACGCGCCTTTGAGATATGCTAGTCTCGCGAGTTTGTTAACAGGAGCAAAGGAAGCAAAGTTTCCTTACTTTACCAAAGGAAAACCAGTCTCCCCTTGGCTAATATTGAAAGCATTTTTCTTTACAAATCCTTGTTTAGTGCTTCTAATTCGTGACTGGCTTTTTGTTTTGCTCTCTCCTCCGCGCTTTCGCGTTCGTCACTTCTTACCGGCGTGTGTGTGTGACACGTACGTCCTACATCACCCGCCGGAACGGCTTGCACATATGACAGTCAGCAGAAGTGAGAAAAAAAGTATTTATAACATTATAAATATGGATATTTTTCTTACAAAAATGCTTCGATTTGCTACAGGAGGTCTTTATTCACCCCCGGAACTGTGAGGCATGTTTTATGATGGATGCGCATGCTTTATTTGACTACTTTTGGACTGTTGAAAAACAACAACTGCCTACTCCCATTCTAACGCTTGGAAGTGCAAGGAAAATTGTTAATATAACTGATTGGATTCGTCTGAAAGAAGAAAGTCATATACACCTAGAATGCTTTGAGGGTGAATAAAACATGGGCTAATTTTCATTTTTGGGTGAACTAACCCTTTAAAGTGGGTTGTATTTCAAAAGAAGACTTTAGGGTTTGGCAAACACAGGTGATGTGGTGGTGCAGTTGGCTACATTAAATTGTAAAAAAAAAAAATGTATATAGCAGTATACATATTTACAGTTATTCACTTAATGATATATCTGTATACTTTGCATGCATAATATTTAGCTATGTAGTTGAGACTAGCTTCTTGCAAGCTGCCCATAGATGATTTTAATATACATATTCAAATATGTACAGGACAAATGCATAGAGTTTATGCAATAAAGCATTTTTGTAATATCTGTGGCATCTTTTCTGTTTCCTGAAAAAATAGGCCTACCTCGAGACATATCACACTGCCCATTACTGATTAATATAGTTTTTGTTGCTCTTGTTTATCATTCCATAAAAACTGTGCTCTGTTGTGCGTGCGTGAACTGAATAGACAGACTTGAAGCAACTGTATGTAGTTTGTGTATATTTTTGCGACTTTGTAGCCCCCTACAGTTAAGTGAGTGGGATTCACTGTCGTAATTACAGCGGATCTCTGTACATGTGCATTTGTTGCTGCTCCGTAAAGCAATACGCTTTCGTACTTGCTCATTATTACTCCCAGAACAGACATTTGGAAGGAAATGTGGGAAAGAAATAGAAAATTTTTTACTTAGAAGTCAGTGTACCATCAGAATGATTTTTAAACTGATATTTTAAGGTAAAAAAAATACAATTGCTTTAGTATTTTCACAGTATCTCACAAGCAAAATTGACGTTGTTCCACTGTCACAAGGATGCAGGTAAGTTAATTCTGAGTATTTTAGACACTATCATTGCCAGTTACTTTACAGTTGTCTATTCTGTAGTTCCAAATTGTTCCAAACACCCCTATCAACACAGAGCAGCGGAGTTTCGGTCCTAAATGAGTAGTATTTTGAAATAATTTGAAAGGGTGAGGGAATAATTCAGTGACTCATTTTTTTAAAAAATTTAAGAACAACTGTTTTTCATGCAATTCTAAGTTTATATATAGTTTTTTAGAGAAAAATTGGATTGTTAGAAATAACTAAGTCCCCCTAGCAGATTTAGTTTTTTGTTGGTCACGCAAATTGTGGCGTTGACCAACAGAAATCTGCTTGGTTTGAAAGTGACTCCATGCGACAAAGGACCTTTTTTTTGCCTGTGCCTGTGAAATTTTGCCAATGTGACTGCCTTAATACAAAGTCCCAGTGCAGTTAGACTGTACCACCACTTTTGGAACTGAGATGCAGAGCACAAAGACAAATGGTAGCTAAGTAATGGGTTTTAGTCAAAATATGAAGCCATACACAACACTTACTCACAGTCACACATCAGCCATGCCTCTAAGCTCTGAGGGTGAATCACTAAGTTAATGAGCCAGTAATGAATCATGATGATCAATATCAGCGGTGATGAACTATGGGGGCGTATCATCTATTTAAATTATTTACTCTTGTACTATGAACTACAAAGTCATTATGTGTATTCGAGAGCTATGAACCGCTACAATTACTCACTGCTTCACAGCTTACCATAAAATGAAACAAGCCTCCTATAAAATGTGAAAGCCTCTGCAACAAAGAAAATCTATAAGCCGATAGGCCTATACAGCAGAGCTGCCGATACAGCTGCCAGAGTTGTTTAATATGGAAAGATGAAAAAGAATATTT